GTCTCGCGTCAGGTATTTGGATGGCAATCAAAAAAAAGGTTCTCTATCGTGGTTAAATAACAGCAGTTTTGTTTGGAGACGTTAAAATTTACAAGAGATCTCCTGCTCCAGTTAGCCATTGATTGGAGCTCATTTTCAAGGGCAGCAGCCATTATTTTGTCAGTCCTTGCGGATTTGATATTGAGGCAAGTGTAAATGGTAGTGTCATCTGCATGGATACCTACAGGAAGAAAGAATTGATGGCGAGCCGCGTTCGTGTATAAAAAAATATGGAAGTGAGCCCGTTCAAAACGACCTTCATTTCACAATTTCATAGGAAGGATTGGATTAAATCAAACATTCGTCTTGTAATAGCGTAGCGATGGAGCTCGCGTAGAAGACCAGAGTGTTAAATACTGTAAAATGCCATCGAGATATCAAGAGCCACTGCTCAAGCTTCACTGTTACTATCAAGAGCTTGATATACATATTCACTGATGGCCATAATACGTTAGCAGTAGAACTGATGAAATAGAAGTTTTATTGTTTGTCCTAGAGAAGTAAGATGCTTAAGAAATTCAGCGTTGATTAATGACTCGAATACTTTGCTGAAAATCAGTAGACAGATTAAGAGCGCAATTTTTTTTAAAGGGACTTTCAATACGTAATTAGCTGGGGCAAGGAATGCCTTCAAAATTTTAACGCCAAAAAAAAAAAAAAAAAACACTGCCTACATTTAATCACAACAGGAAACATATCTATGTCGCTGAGATAAGTTATTATGATTACTTGTATTATTTACATTATTCGAACTGTTACCTGCATCTTTATTGTCATATTCACAACGTTTCGGCTGTTGTAAGTTCCGGCCTTCTTCAGGAGATTAGAATTTCGAACCGAACCTTTATTTAGTTCACCGGGATTGACTGTCCAATTCCACCTGTCCTAATGAAGAACACGGGCCGCTTCGCATCAAACGTTTCACAGCGTTACACCAAGCTACCTCATATATACGGTCTGACAAAATTCGAAAAGATAGTATACCGCTCAGGCAGATTGTTATCTGCCAAGGCTCTGTGTGACACCCTCTGAGTCGGTTCCTAGTAGATATATTCGACCCATTAATAGGCATGTCATCATCGTATGTCCAAAACTCCGCCCACTTCGTGGAAATAATTAAAGATGCTCCTATCCAATCCAACCATATGGTGAGCATGGACCTAGTGAGTTTGTTCACCAAGGTACCCATGGAAGAGGCACCCTCGTGAGTCATGGAGAAAGAAAACAACAACAAACTCGCCTTTCTGGATGTATTAATATCTCGAACAGAGCATGGGTTCAAGATATCCGTATACCGCAAGCCTACATTCATCTCAACATTGTACTGCAACTTCAACACCCACCATTCATACAGTGTAACAAAAGGGATCGTCCGTTGCTTACATCATCGAACAAAAGTCGTGTGGCGATGCAGAGATATGAACAAGAAATAGTAGCTTGATATAACGCTGTGAGAACTTTGATGCGAAGTGGTCCTTGTTCTTGATTAGGACACGTGGAATAGAACAATCTGTCCCGGTGGACGAAATAAAGATTCGAACTACCTATCACCTGAAAAAGACCGGAGCGTACCACAGCCGAAACGTCAGTGAAGCTGAGGATAACAGTCCGAATAAGTAAATAATATAAATAACCATAATAACTCATCTCCAGAGATATAGACAGCTATTGGAGAGTTGAGTTAAAGACATTCGACATTTGACTTCAGACATTTGGAGAGTCATACACGTGGAACTAGAACTATCTACCCCTGTGGACGAAATAAAGGATTCGCTTCGAAATTCTATTCACCTGAAGAAGAGCAAAACTTAGTGAATATAGCAATGATGATGAGGATAATAATCCGGATAATGTAAATAATGTGATTAATAGAACAACTTTACTACCTGCCATCAATATGTCTGATGATGAACCCCCGGATAGCAACACTTTATCCACTTAATGAAGTGGAATTATAATCTTATTTATTATAAAACGCAGATTGTGTGTGTGTGTGTGTGTGTGTGTGTGTGTGTGTGTGTGTGTGTGTGTGTGTGTGTGTGTGTGTGTGTGTGTGTGTACGCTTATATATTGGATCGGATTTCCTACATTTTTCAACCGATTTCAACAAAACTTCACAGGACTACGTAAAATTACAAAAATTGGAAAAACACATTTGTTTTTGCACAAAATCAATTTGAAAACACGAATAAGAGGCATCACTCGCCAGAATGAAAAGGGGACAACTCATATCGATTTATACTTATAAAACCCAGGTTGTTTGTGTGTGTGTGTGTTCGTTTATATATGGGATATTTCCTACATTTTTCAACCGATTTCAACAAAACTTCACTTTTTTTTGGCAGGTAGTGTTTCTTATTGTCTTGCACACTTTTTTCTTTATTTTTACATTCAGAATGCTTTAAAAATTCCATTTACAAGACAATTGTTTATAATAAAATTCTATTCAATCGGTAGACTCATAACGATTGAAAACAATGTTTTTGTTTGAGTTTGGGTTTGACCAATTCGTAAAAAAACAAAAAAAAAAAAAACAAAACAAAAAAAATAATTAAGACATGCGTGTCCGTCAACCTTAAGCAATAATCTTTGTCAATTTTATTTTTCAGTCTTTATGATGGTCGATACTTGATCTATCTCTTACTGTTACATCCCCGGGCAACGCCGGGATCTACTGCTAGTATTGAACAAATAGCTAGGTCAACTTCTAGGAAACTTAGTTTACTTTAATATCCTTCTTGTACATTTATAAATTTACCATTCCGTGCACTGAACACTGCTGACATATATGTTTTCGTGTTCTTATTATATATCTCTGTGATGTAATCGATACAGACATTATATTTCTCACTCACATTCTACTTTAAAACTTGAATACGGAACCACACATTATGCATTTTACTTGTATGTTTAAATTAAAAAAAGACAGCACAGTTATTTAAATTTTAATGTTTACTAATATCGAATTTTATTCGGAAGCTACACACACATACACACACATCTATAAAATGCACTAAAATAAAATACCATTTAAATCACAGTGTTGTATTTTAGATAGTAAGAAAAAATTCATAAAAACTACTTTGTTATAAAAAGAAGAGTTAAATCCATCATCGTTTCAGTCGGGATGTTTCCTTGTTGATCACAAAAGCATAATCTCAGGTTGAATTAGATTAGTCCAATTTTCAAATCAGTTGATACAATTATTGCATTCTGTAGAAAAGACAAAAATATAAATCATAATCTAATAAAAAAGAACACATTTTAATCAAACAATAATTATTATTTACCATTTTATAGATTAGCCTCGGAGTTCATATTATGATATAATTATGCAGTTTAACAATAGTAATCTGGTGTATTTCGGCTAACAAAATTTTTGATCAAAGCAATATTTTAAATCATATAATTATATGAGTTCCATGAAATTTGGTAAGAAAGGCTTTTAACAATTATGGTCGATCCAAAGAGATTCCAAAATAAATTCCGGTGTCTGTCATGTTGGGTGAACTGAGAACTTATTAGTGTTCTTAAGATTATAATTTCAAACTACATTATAATGATAGGAAGAAATATTGTAATTCAACGATGATACGCACTCGAAGGTTTAAGAGATGAAAAAACGAAGTATGCAGGAATGCATTAGGTTGACCAAAACAAGGTAGTTCTATGTTTGCTGGAATCATTCAAACGATCTTTTTATTCAGACAGATGTGGAATCATGCATGTTTTCGAAACATAGACAACATTGGTATATTTAGTTTATTAAATGTTAAAGATTAAAATAAATAAGCGACATTTTTTATCACGTACAGCGATGTTTCACGGTAGAAGAAATGAAGCGTTAATAATGATTTACATCAAAACATCATTGCTAATATTTACTGTTGTGTGTTGCAGAAAGTAGCTAAAATAAAGTGCGATTGGCAATGTAATGTAATTAAACAGATTGTGGAAGGAACTAAACTGGCAATAAAAAGGCACATATTATAACAAAGTGCAATGTAGGATAATATATGTTAATGAAAATTAATAATATCCCTAACAGAATGTTTTGCTTATTATATATTTAATGATGTTCTAGAGCAGAAAAGACAGAAGAAATTTGTTTTCCAAAAGAATTTAAGATGTTTCCACAATTATACAATTTATACGATGATGTTTTCTGTTGTATATAAGGAAAATATGCTTTCTTCTGTATTTGTAGTTTAAATATGAATTATATTAACTCCTGCAAAAGACATAACGTCAAAATTATTTCGTAATTCTCATAAGGTTTTCAATAAGGGTAATATATTGGTTTTACTTGCAATTCGCGCCTGAATTATTACATTTATAAATGTTAATCCTTTAAATATTTCCGCCTTATTTCTTCTTGGCTTCCTTTTTTAGTTACATTCTTGTTACATTCTCGCATTTTTCGTAGAAATTCAAAATTATATAGCACAAGTTGCGTTTTTATGAGTGTATTGAGTATCCAAGTTAGTAAAAGGTTAATGGAAATGACTAATGTCTAAAATTAAGTTACATTTCGTTTGATAATTGCCTCCGCATGAAACTCATCACCATCTACGATGCTAAGGAAATTTGTTACTTTATTTGTCTTCTATCCATTTTTATCTGTGTCAGCCTCCTACGGATGATTTCAATACAATGTTTGTTTTGTTTAGACTATGTATTAAATTCATATAAACATGCGTCTGCAAATCACCTTATAATACTTCAAACACTTCAGACTCTATTCCTACATTTCAACGTCATACAATTGTATGTTAAATATTTCTTTGCCTGTGACTTACCATATAATGTTAATAATGCTACTAATGTTTCATATTGTTAAAAAAAAGTCGATCAGTTATGATATAAATTTAAAGACACTAATGTGTATATGTTGCAAGTGATTTACAACATTCAACTAGGAGTTACTCTTGCAAGAAAATTAATCAATAGTGTTCGCTCTTCTAACATGCAGAAATGAAAATGATGCTTACATTCACAATACGAAATTCTGGATTAAAGATAGATGTCTGCTGGGGAAGTATAAGGGGTATAACAGTGGTTCCAATGCCTGCAAAATAACAATAAAGCATCTGTTGACAGGAATTTACAGAAACTTCACATATTTCTTGCATCAGAAATTACTTTGTACGAATATATTTCTTTTATAATTCAACATTAAAAATTCCTAAAATTAAACGACTAAATATCTTTAAACGTTCTTTGCCTTTTTCATTGAATATACATTATATGCAAGAATGTAAGAAATATTTTATACTTTTAAGTCATATGTGCAATATTCCCAAATTGTAATGTACGCATATTTTGATAGCTTTTATGAATGTTACTAGAAAATTACTTAAAACTTTTGTAATAAATATATAATATTATAATTTTGTACTAATATTTGTCTTCAGGAATAAACTTTCATTTTGAGAAAATGGTAATCATTGCAGTTTAAATTGTGCTTAGACGTTTTGGCGTTCCTTTATTCTCAGTACAGACTACCATTATTCTCAATAAAATCTATTTTGAAAGAGAATATCAAAATGAAATATCACATTTACTTACTGTTTATAAATGGTGTTAATTCGTTAAACATCGTTTGTAAGCCTTTTTCAACCTTTGCCACCTGCAGTATAATGAAAAATATAATATCGAGTATATAATTTATTTTAATATCTGTCACTGTAATATACACTATAGATATCACAATTTTCTTTCGAAGTGAAATGTACTTTTGATTACAGTAGATTAAAGAAAAAAATATATTTGTAAAATAATTTTAAGCAATTTCTTAAGCAAGACTATGAAAAATGACAATAATATGCCATACATTCGTCTGACTATCTTCCACAAAGAAATCTGCAAAGCAATTACACAAAACTTTAGAAGCAGTAATTCTTTGAATGCCTACATAGGTTTTAGATATTTTCTTTGGAAAGATTTATGCGTAGACGTTAACGAGAAAAGATTGATATATTATAGAATTATACATGAAATGAATTTGATATATAACCACAAATTTTCGGTTTACATTTAAATAAATCATTCATGATTAGATGATGCAAAATATTCAGTGAAATAATTGTTCTTCAAAGCACTGCAAGGGGACTTCTGATTTTCAGTAGCGTTAACTTATATTACAAACATATAAATTCTGCAAAATATATCAATAATATTTTATTAAAATAATATTATGATAAATGTACCAAAATTTCTAATCGCCAGAAATATTTCTTCGCTATTTGTTGGCAAAAGAAGATAATAGATTCCTTTCAATATCATTTGATTCATAAACATGATTTTTTGTAAAGTTTAAAAATCTGAGGATTTACAGTTATCATTTATCAAAACTAATTTATTTCTATCTCATTAAAAGTTTACAAATATTAAGATTTATTAATTCTTTATAATTGTACATATTTAAAACTCATTTCATACGTACCGTAATCTGCGAAACTCCCTCTATATTACTGGCTTTTTTATTTTTATATGTGTATATGTTCATATAGATTTATACATGCTTTTTCTGTGACTGTGAGTTTCATACATTTAAAATACTCTTCAATATGAAGTATAGCGAATATGTGTATTGAAAATAAAGAAATTACTTACATCAAACTTGTCTGCGTAAGGCCCCGAAAGTTGACCAAATATGAAACTAAAATGAAGACGAAAAGAACTAATTTATATTTAATGGAAGAAACTAATTTCAAATTTAAGCTACGTGTGTTTTATAACTCATTTCTTATTTCTGTATTATTTATTTATGATTATTGTTTAGTCAAAAGGAGTTGCAATTTATTATAATCTTTTAATCGCGTCCATCTCATTCCCACAATTTCTTGAACGTCTTTACTTCCTGAATCATTTAAATTTTTTTGACATATAAATCCTTATGAGTTGCTTACTAAAACGAAACCATCAACATGATTCTATAAACTGGAGTGTTGATTAATGCTGTTAGTTTCTTACTCATTTGCACATAAAATAATTTCTTAAACATGCACTAAGACTGGATGATTCTGATTTCTGTCGAAGATATTATACACTTCTTACATAAAGAAATTTAACAGGCGAGCAAGAGTTAAAACGTACCAAGTTCTTTAGAATTATTGCTTGTTTTCCTGTGTGTGACATAATACTTTGTTATTAATCGCAACAATTTGATTTCCTCTAACTTACCTTATATTTAGTAAAATAGAAATGAATAATGTTTTGACCAAAAAGAATGAAATTGATCTTGCTTTTAGCATAAGAAAGTCTGATTTTTTTTCTTATGAAGAATTTTTAAATAAATTACGCCATTACCAGCAAGTAAATAGGGCGAAGAAAGAAAACTTTCATAAACCTCATTCTTAGTCAAAATTGTAAACCTTATCCTTAGTCAAAATTGTAAAGCTAGCTTGGGAGAAATTGAAAGTTTATTATTAAAAATTTAATGTCAATTTTTTGTTTTGTGTAGGATGGCATCAAAAGAAAAACTATAACAATAATTTTATCACTATGAACGATCTTCAAGAAAAATCTAAACGATATAAGTTTGATCATGAATAATTCTATAGTAATTTGTAAAGTTAAATTTACAATTACTTTTTTTCTTATATCGGGTGGCCGTTTACTAAATTCATCTTCACAATTCTGTCGAATTAACCGTAAAACGTATCAAAGAGCGTGAGATAAATGAAGGATCAGTTAGCTAGAGATCGACTCCCAAAAATATAATCGTGGTATAGGACCCAGGGCACATTTCACCGTCTGTTCCAAGAATATGCATACTAATGCACAGACCTGACATAAGAGTGCAGAGACAAATGGACTAAATGTGACACAACAGAAAAGACTAAATAATAAATCACAATAACTGGCTTCAGAAACCCCCAAGAGGTTTTTGAACCTAGTGAACCCTCAGGAGGAGACACAGAGAGCCAGATCGACTATATGAACTTTAAATGATCAAGGAAGATTGTGCAAAAATAGAAAGAATGATCATCATACGTATGGCAGTTATTTATAAAGAAAGATAACGAACAGGACAAAATATCTTCTTTTTGAGAGTATGCATAAAATCAAAGGATGGAATTCTCGTAATTGATAAAACAGATCTATACTACAAATAAGAATATATCAGTGAACTTTTCCAAAAATAGATAAAACTTAAATGCACAAAAATGTTGGAGTACATGAGATATTTACATCAGGTTTAATATTGGCGCTGTCCAAGATGAACAGAAACAAAACAGTAAGGCAAGGAGATGTTTTTAGTCTTTGAAATTTTCCGCATCATCATAATTACATAAATAATATATGAAATATGCTACACTGGCGACATAGTGGGAACCCCCAGTAGATTAATATCACTGGTTTACAACACGAAAGCTTCAAAACCAAAATAGCCAATCGTAACTAATTTTCTGGAACTGGAAATAAAAATGATATCCAAAATTGTTGATTGCCTCAATACTTCAATATATGATACAAGACTTACATAAATATTCCTTCAAAATTGTTGTTCTTGTCAGATTAATTATTATTCTCCTAGTGACATTGTTATATATATTCTTCTAATATGCTAATTATTATTTCTTTTTCTAGTCAGATTTTCCTACATTAACTGGCGTAAGAGAAATACTCCGTGAATTCCTGAACAAAGCCGATAACGACCGCTGCATGTGTTGTGAAGCAACATTTACATTTCAAAACAGAATATAACACCTGTAGTGAGAGAAGATGATACTTCCAATTGCTAAGGGATTGTCAAAGAAAAAGAAATTGACAGTGCAATATCCAAACTACCAGTAATGGGAGAGAATATAAATAGAAAAAGGCGCACGGTAAGGACGCGTCTACTTTAACCTTTATCATTTACAATGAATCTAAAAAAAACAAGATAGAAGTCAGACCAAGATTTGATATACGTGGTCACAATCGTAACAACGTAAACTATGCAACTAACACCGTGTTGATTGCAGACACAGAATGTAGAATATCCTAGAGAAAACGCGAAGAAAGAAAAATCAAGACACCATTATATAAAAGCTACAATAATCAAGCAAATGCACAACTTAAAGTATCTTGAAAGGCAAATGTGACAGAAAGACGCATTGTAATTGTGAAATATGTCTTCCAAAGGCCAAGAAAAGTTATTGAGGATGAGGAAAGATTACTGAATTTCTTTGTAATATCAATTCTCTTTTATAGCATGAATGCTGAGCAATTTTCTCCATAGGAAATGTTGTCAGCAAAGATGTGATTATATGTAAGGATGATGATTATACAATAGATGAAACGCGTGAGAAGTTTTTTAATGGATGATTTCGTTTTCCTCTGTTTGAATTGTCTATTAAATGGTACTAGGACATAAAGGGTTATTGGGATTGAAAGAGAATGAGAAGGATTCAATGAGAAGCAAGGAGAAAAGACAGTAACAGAACAGGATTCAGATGGACGAAATATGGTGCTTGATGTTGTATCTAAATTTGTGAAGATTGTATGTGAAAGAACAGTATGAAATCGGAAGGGATATCTACAGGCGAGTCGTGGGAGAAAAGAAGTATTAGAATAGAATATACGGATTCATCTGACTAGTTTAACAATAAGACACTAAGACCTAGCTGCCAATTTAGTATCATGCTTGAATTCACGCAGTCAATTCACACAGGAGCTAAGCTCATCAAAACAATTATAATGAAAATATTTTGTAGAAAAGCAGAGGATTTCTGAAAGTGACTGATTTCGAGATGCAGGTAAGGATTGTTTATGTTATGTTTTCTCATTAGCCCTCAAAGTAAAAAACTTAAAGGAAAGTCTTACATCCGAATTCCAATTCCGAAAATTATTTTTCTTACATATAGCAATTTTTTTCTCGTGTCCAAAAATGCTAATTTTGGGGATACCCGGTAGTGTGGTGTTCTCTGTGTTTGTAAATATTTTGCTGTATAATTTTCATGTTTAATTTTCACCTTATCAAAAGCAAATTATAGTTCCTATGCGGAGACATGTAAGACACATTTCTTTAGAAATATCGACATTGATCTGAGAGTTGGTAATATGTTCCTAAAATCACAAGGCATTTGATATTGAGCTAAATTCAAAAGTTTCGGACGACTTGCTTAATATGCCTAAGAAACTAATTAAACAATGATTATTGGTGTTTTACTGATATTATTTGAAAAGTATAACAATTAAAACACAATCTGTTTTGTATACAGATTTCCTCTTTAAAAATACAGGTATTGGTTGAATCCTAATGTCAAATATAATCTGGCACAACTTCCGAAATCATGTAAACCTGTTGTGATATCAATTAATAAAGACAATATCATAAATGATTATTTCTCTATATTAAGACGAGATTTTACAACTTCATTTTGAAATGCGTGACATCACCATTGACGTTTCGATATGAGAAAGAATGTTATATTCTTAATGCATTTATTACCGATAAATTAAATAAAGAAACAATTCATCATACCTGATGTTTGCGATAGACAAATAAAACTTGTTTTCTTTGAATTGAGCCTTCACTAGTGTTGAGACATTCTACAAAAAGAATTATTAATAAGAGTTAATGCATTGTCCACATTTGTACAGAAATTTAATTACGAATTATTAATTTTATCATGCTTTAGTTATAAAACACGAATATATATATATATAATATATCTTTCTTGAAAATAAAAATCAAAAGCCGCTGCATCAAAGTGATATAGCGAATAATATTTTCTGCATAAACGTATTTTTCTCCCTCTTTTTCTGCATATATGTGTATGTGTCGATGGAAGGATTATTTTTAGGCAAATATCTGGGACATTTTTTTAATTGTTCAGTTTTTCATGGATTAAAACAAGAAATCATTCTTGCTTGCATAACAAAATCAAAATTATTGTGCATATCATCATAAAAATGAAACGATTGATTTTGGTGTAATTGTAAATTTGTTTAAATATTAAAAGAAAATAAATATTATTGCATTAAAAATTTGTCATATATAAGCTAAATTTTCCAAAAAATATTTCCAAATATTCAAAACTGTTGACCTATAGATTTCATTAAAAAATGAAAATATTGTTTTTTAAGTTCATTGTTTGAATCGAATGAAAATTATTAATACATGCGAACAGATCTAAAATATTTTATAATTAAATCAACATAAAATACAATTGAAATAAGTGTAATGAAGTGTAATGACGCAGACAGTCTTACCAAATAAACATTAAAGACGGTGGTCTTTTTCAAGTTGGATTGGAGCGTAGAAAATTGAAGTTGTGTGGGAATGCTCATTTGAATCTTATCTGGGTAAAAATATGTCCGGGGACGATCAAATGTTGAAAAGTAAATTTCAATTGTTGTGTTTGGGAAGGTAACTGCAAACTATAAATGAAAAACAAAAAAAGTTGTTTCAATAATTGTAATAAAACCGATAAAAAAAAATTTCGCTAATTATGTGAGGCTAACATAAGCGCATTTGAATACATTCATGCACACATACACACACACACACAGGCACATACTTATATGTACAAACACACACATACTTATATGTACACATACACACGCATATATATATATATATATATATATATATATATATATATATATATTAAGACATATTTATATTTATACATTCTTTTTATAGATACAAATATTTAAGTAAATGCTCTGTTTATAATATATATATCTACAAATATATATATCTATATATATCTATCTATCTATCTATCTATCTATCTATCTATATATATATATATATATATATATATATATATATATATATATATCAGAAGTTGTGGCCATAAGGAAGCGTTTAAGGATTAAATAAACTCTCCTCGCTGGATTTTTGCTAAAAAGTTTGATAAAGAAATTAACATTATATGGTAACTTTAATTTCCCCTCCTTAAATGTTCACTATTTCTTAATAATTTTGATTTTTGGTCATTACATACCCAACACACGAATTATAAAACAGAAGAGAAAATATGAAACTGGACTTTCCAAGGATTTTATTTAGTCTTAATATTTAGGTTTCTTAGAAAACGGTCATAGGTCGTGATTTTTAATTATTTATTTGTGTCTATATTATTTATACTTTATTTATTTTTATTTACGAAAAATATTTCATACCATGTTAGATGTTACCACAACCTGATTCAAATGATTGATGAATTATTTTAAATATTAAAGAATTTAAGATTAATTATAAAGATTAAAGATTCATTATTATAACATATAACTTAGAACTAAAATACTGTCTTTTAAAATGATCAAAATTGGGAACATATGAACAAAATAAATAATATAATATAATAAAGGAATAGATAATTTGAAATAAATAAACAGATATATCACAGTTAGAAAAATAGTTTTCATTTCTATACCCTCACAGTTAATACACACAAGTGATCTATCGCTGGTACAGACTAGTTTCACGCCATAAATACAGCAAATTTAAAATTATCTTTATACAAAGATAAATAAACTTGTTTGATTAAACAGCTCTATCTGTCAATATCTCTGAGATGAGGTATTATATATACTATTTACATTATTCGGACTATTGTCCCCATCTTTGTCGCCATGTTTATCACAACGTTTCGACAGTTGTACGCTCCGGCCTTCTTCAGGTGGCTAGAATGTCGAACTGAACAATTTATTTCGCTCACTGGAATGATAGATGTCACTTATCTCCTGTTAATTCCCTTCTCCAAGTTCTCCACCGCCTTAACCAGGTATTGAACAACAGATGGCACAGTGGATATATATTGTAATGAAACTGAAGAAATTGTGAACATACTTCTGAAAAAAAAGCAGTCATTAAGTTACAATTGGGTCAAGTTAAATCCTATACTGAAGCATCTATTTTCATTGACGTTATTAAGACTATCGAGAAGCTTCCTTATTTTGGTGGTGCAAGTACGCTACATGTCTTTTGATAACGACACTGCTCTTACTGATGCCTTTTCATTACTAAAAGATCATTTGTGATAAAGAAGAGGAGTAAAGAAATGAATATCAGTGTTTAGAATGTTTGTATTTTAGCTTACGTCATTTAGTGATCGGATATTTAAATATCTTTCGTAGAACCGTTACATCCACGTTATTTTCCCAACACCATGTGAATTAATGCTTTAATTCATACGCCAAGTTCTGCATTTCTTTCAAGAACTACATCTGTTAGCACAGAAGCAAACATACATCGTCACAGGCCGCAGTGGGTGGTTCATATATGAATGGTGGACAACAGGATACTCCCAAATCCCCAAAATGCTGTATAAGGAAATTTGACAAAGAAATCTTCCACAATACAAACCAAGGAAATGCTTTTGTCGATGTGTGAAGGACTGTTTTAAGGTATGCATGGTGGATGATCCAAACTAGGAAGTCAACGCTCATGTCAAACGAAAGCGAGGATCTATTATCCAGAAAGAGCTGAATATTTTCCAACAATCTGCTATTTACAGAGACACATAAGAAGCGGATGGCTGCTTTAAAAAAAATAAATGTCCATTTCCAGCCGAACCCTTATACATATAAAATGTCACAAATGAGACACTATTGTAACTACGAAGAGTGTCATGTTAACAAAGATATTACATTCACAAAAGTCGTGTTCTTGTCAATCTGGACTGAACACACATTTGAAGGTCCATGAACATTGAACCCAGGACGCAATAATTTCTCAAAGATTAACAGTCTACAGCATCAATCTCTGTAATAAAATATGCAACTCTCTTGAAGGCTTCAAAAATCATTGTCAGTTTCATGGACGTAAATGCATGTCAGTGATGTTATTTCTCATTAAATGAGTCAACAATCATCCGGTCTAAAACATGCATTGTACATCCTAAACGTGAAAAAACATATAATCACTAAATTATCATGATAATAAAACATAATAACACTTTATAATAAAAAATGATGGATTTCTAATTTTGAAATAAAGGGCCTCTAATAAAGATAATATCTACTTACCTGCGGCAGAATTGTACCAATGCAAAATGAATCAGGACATGTGGTATGGAAAAATTCATGACTGCCGTCTGGAAGCTGAAAATGTTAAATAAAGTTTTGTATAATTTTTACAGTTTTGCCTGTTGTACAGAGAATACGATATATTTTCGAAGAATATATATATATATATATATATATATATATATATATATATATATATATATGTTGAAACTTGAATAAAGCATGGAATAATAATAATACAACACAAAATGTACTTAAACAAAATGTATTGACACAAGAACGTGTACACAATATTTACAGATAGTTTGGTATATTCTTGGGAAGACCGTTCCTGTAGAATGGGTTGACTTAGTCGCAGTCGGGCAGAGTCTCTGGATTGGATCTCTTCTTCCTCCCCTGTCTTCCCGGTACCACCCATATTTATATGGTCGGTACTCCACTATATAAATTAGGTGGATCGTACCAACAAACAATATATATATATATATATATATATATATATATATATATATATATGAGTCTCATATTTAAGACGACTGAGAAACCACTATATGCTTGTCAAGAACATATGTCAGTTATGACTCATTTAAACTGGCACGAAAACTCCAATTGCAAATATACATGTTGAAATTTATTCCAATGTTATTTCATTTCGGTAAAATCGAGATATGTTTGAAATAGCAGTACGAGTTATCAAGCTGATTCTTATTTAAATCTAAACCTATGTGGCTGTCAGATTATGTAAAAATTCCTGGAAATAGGATTAGAACAATGAGTTGTCAAATCGTGCTTCAAAAGTAACTAAAGTATCGTCAAATGAAAATCCACGTTCCACTGGTTAGGCTATTTGGACCACAAACCCGTTTGTGCCTGGATGGCGTTTGATGGTATGCCTAGAATGGCTGGATACTTCAATCTGTCTTTACTGGACCAGAGATACCCCCAGGAACAGCCGATTAGTGTAGTGCAGCGGGGACTAGTGGGAACGCTTATCGGGAATACGTGATGGGATAAGGCTAGCAAGGAGAATGCTCTTAAAGATAGTCTTTCCCGTGTAGTGGCTGGGGGCGATCCCCTAGAGAAAGTCTTAGCTAGGGAGGCCCTGGAGCGTTCGGCTAGCGAGCGCTATATGGGTCAGTTAATTAGACATAAGTTAAGCAAGATGTCTTCCGAAGCTGTGAATATGGACGCAGAAACACCGGAGGAGTATACTCTTCAGGCCACTGAGGACATGTGCGAGCCGTTTGGGCTGCATTTCGAGAGCCGGTTTACAAAGGACACTGGTCTACGCGAAGGGGAGATCTCAGAGGGCGATGTCTACGCGGCATTGAAGAAGGTCGGCAGAGGCAAGTCGCCAGGTCTGGATGGTTTACCCTATGAATTGTACTTGAAGCTGTCGCACATCTTTGTCCCGATTTTGACTGTCGTGTTCAACAACTGGCTCCGGCAGGGGTCCGTTCCTGACCGGATCTCCAGGGCTGTGGTCACGCTGTTGAAAAAGAGCCAGGGTGCTGCGCGGGATTTAGATGACTATAGGTCTATAACTCTGCTAAACACAAAGTTAAAGATTTTGGTCAAGATCCTGACGGAGCTTTTGAAGTAAGTCAGTAGGGATTTGAGTAGACTTGAGGGCGCGCTGATCAATTTGGATCAGTCCAAAAGATTTTATAGGGTTGACCATCGCTACTTGGCGTTGAAGCCACTCCTGCGCTAAGGGACAGGGCGTGCAGTTCGGTCCTACGTGGAATCACTGTCGCTGGAGGTGCTCGAGCCAGGGTTTCTGCGTACGCTGATGACGTATCTACTTTTCTGTCGTCCCCCAGCGGCAGTGAGGTGGTACGGAATACGGTGCGAAAAGGTGACAGGGGCCAAGATTAACCGCGACAAGTCTTCAGGCATGTGGTTAGGTGCCTGGAACGGGGTCGATCTTCCAGGGCCCTCTACTCATCCGGGGAATCAAGAATTGCGTATATATATATATATATATATATATATATATATATATATATATATATTATTATTAAAGCGGATAAACGGAGTAGAATTGGGTAGACAGGGTTTTATAGCTACGTATATAGTAATGACTGGATAGAGTGCTACTTCGTTTGAAATTAATAGACAGGGCGGCGACATAAAGGCAAACCATACCTCCAGTTGAAAGCGGTTGATCCCAACCGTTCTGACAATGTTTATACTCAGTGAAACGAAACATAGTCTCAAACAAGTTAATTAACAAAAAATATTTTTCTGACATTTTTAACAAAACTTATGTCAATAAGAAACGTTTTTGAATACCTGTGCGTATTTACATATGTATGTGTGTGTCTGCACGCTCGTGTATGTGCATTGTATGAATGAATAAGTGTAAAAATGTTAACAACTTACATTTTCTCTGTTTACTGTGTATTTGAAAACATTATTTTCATGTGCCGAAAAGAGCATTGTGTCAAGCACATAATTCGAAATGATGAAATAGACCATCTTATTATTCTCAGAAATGTTTGGCAAAGGTTTTGCGGTAAACGGAATTATCCTTTGGTCGTTCTCATAAGATATTATTGCCTGAAAGTGACGAAAATGAAAAAAAAAGAAACTGACATAAAAAATCATTAGGAATAAAAAAAAAATATATTACGAAATACAGAGATTAAGAAAATCTTCAATGCTAAAGAGGTAATATTTTCATAATTTGTATACAAGCAGATGATAAGTAACAATGAAGGAAGTACATAACCGCTTGCAATTAATGAGGGAATATTAACATCCGCATTTCTAAATAGGATTATTTATATGAAATTGGTCTGAAGGCAAATTGATAAAAGAATACGAAGTAATGAGAAGGTTACTGAACTGATTTAGTAACATTAACTTGCAAACGTGAAATATCTTTCAAAGTCGAATACGAAATGAAATATATATGTGAAGCATAAATTGTTTGGTTGAAAATATTTAAGAATGAAATGAAACATTCAACAAATATTATTTTTATATTAAGGAAATATGCAAATAGTGTTAACACTCGTAACGAGCACATGACTGAATTAATAAATTACTAAATCATACAGAACATAAAATAGTCCATAAGAAACACTTACTTTGTGATTGGTTTGCATGTAGTTAGAATGGATTACAGGATTCGATTCAAGACTATAGTCGAAGACATAATTTTCGGCGAATGGATATGTTACTGATAAAAAATATAACCGTCAAAATTTCACATGGAATTAAAACATGGACATTATAAATGAAAAATATTTTTTTAATATGTGTCCTTTCTTAATATATAAAATAAATAAAATGATGTATATTTTTCTTACCGCAAACTAGTTTTACATCAAAAGGTAAAATGATCGTTAAAAATTATCAGCAATTTTGGAATAAATCAACTAATTAATATTCAAATCACAAGAATTTTTGTGTAAAATTCTCTTTCAAAACATTTTGTAAAAGGAAACAATAATTTTTTGTACTTAATTTCTGTATTTTATTTAAAATATAATTCAATCTATATTGTTATTTTTGTTACTCTAAATTACATACATGCCAAAGAGTAAATAATCTAAAATAATCTGTTAACATAAATAAATGAATTTCAGTATTAGATTAGTTGCCATATATGTTTCAAAGAAATTTTGAAAATATTAGCCATTAGATAAATGACGAGAAAAAACAACATGACGCGACAAGTATTAAAATATGCATTTTGACGAATATATAATTAATTAAGATATGTCTAAAAGTCACAAGAACGATGAGAAAGGTATTTTCGAATGTTAACATTTTAATTTCCGGAGCAAGTCGTATACAAAAAAAAAAAAAATTACTGAATTCTTTCACTGAAATACGAAGCTATAATAAATTATCTCACAATAAATAAATAAATATTTCCCTTATTTTATACAAAAATAACTTAATATAGAAAACTGTTTTCTTCGTTTTTAAATGAAAATGAATATTTTCATCCATACTTTACATGATTTGATGAACTTTGTGAAAAAATAACGTATATTCACTGATAATAAGGAATACCGCTAACTGTTAATCGAGCAAAATAGGAATGACTTGTGCTGGCATCGCATGTTGTTTATACGAAATAACAGTGATAATAAATTTTTAAAAAATAAGAAATTCATTTTGTGTTTATAATCAGTTATTTTTCTTTGTTTCTTTTTTATGTGTAAATGTTATGGGTAAATCGAAGTAATTTTTACTTACCTGGATAATTACTGATAACTTTAGCTGCATTATTATTTAGAATGTTTACGACACTGCTACACATCTGTTGAAGAATATCGTACAATGATTGAAAAGACAGATCTGAATTATTACATAACGAAAAAAAACTAATTTGTTATTTATATATTGTCCGGGAAGAATTTTAATTCTGAAATTTACAAATTGTATATATTTAATTACCGCAATGTTGCGCAATCATATTTTATACTGGTGTTACAATTTTTATTTCAGAACATCTAAAGTAAACAGGATATATATATATATATATATATATATATATATATATATATATATATATAATTATTATTTATAAAATAATTATAACATAAGTATGTTATAAAATCACTACAAAATAGCCATTTTGTTTCAACACACTCAGTGTCTTATCAAGTGATGATGTTGAAGATAAAATAAATGGTTTTAAAAGTTTCAGATTAATTAACGATCCTACACTAGGGGGAAACATTGTCACAAAAGCTAGAATAACCAATCAAAAACCAAGTATAGAAAGATTCAAAAGCTTGACAACGAAATCATGTTATAATAGCTATTCAGATCTTTAAAATACGTGTAATATTAAAATAATTTATACTAACCAATAATTATAAAATTATATGATAAAATTTAATATTAAAATTAAAACTGGCAATTTTAAAATCCAAATTTAATCACTATTAAATTTAAAAACTACAAAATTATTGAGAAAAGAAAAAAATATATATGTTTATTCAATATATATATATATATATATATATATATATATATATATATATATATATATATGTGTGTGTGTGTGTGTGTGTATATATATATATATATATATATATATATATATATATATATATATATATATATAAAAGAATTATTTTAGGTTTGTTTTTTATATTAAGAATAAAAGTTAGATCATTTGTACGTAAAAATAATTTACATTAAAAATTAAGCTGGATCAACGTATTTGAACAGATATTTATTTTTATGCCTATATGTAACTATCAATTCATTTTTTTTTTTTTGTTTAATAAGCTCGGGCTATTTGAGCTTTTTAAGATAACTAATTTTTCACAAAGACATACATTGCATATATAATTGTGCCACCATTGCGATAACCAGATATTTCAATTTAAATTTAAATTACGGCTATACTCAACACCTGGATGATGCTTTGTGCATGAAACTCCTGTTAACTAAACTTGAATGTATTATGATATGACATTTAATAATCTGAAGATTCAAATGGAACCAATACCTTGATAAACCAATGGATCGTTAGTTTTTGTAAATAGCATTAGACAAATTAGGTATAATAAGAAATGAAATTACCTGACTCTCTAATATACGTGTGAGTCTCCTATTGAAAATATACAATATCGTATTTATTATCCAGCTATCGGCGGAAGCCTTCAGGTTCAGGTAGCTGTTACAGCCTTTAGCTTCTATATTTAGGCCTCCGCTAGGGGCCTTTGCTGAAAAACATATAGTATGATTTAATTAGGTAGAAAGCATAGTGAATAAAATAAATGTTTATTTTGAATGCGTATAAGGTCATGCAAAGCTTTCGAAATAGATTGTTAGTGTAAAGTCAATTAGATTTTTTGACCAATCATATTTATCCTATCTATGGTATCAAGAAGTTCCTCTGGGTTTTCTAAACGTCATCATATAGCATATGCCATTAAATTAATTCGTAATACACTCATACGACGTACTTATATTAAAAAAAGAATTTATAAAATATCATTTTTTTTTATATTGTGACACTACTAAAAGAATTGAGTTAATTTAGAATATTAAATGGAACAGACGAAAAGGGTTAAAATTACAGAATAACATAAACTGAAAGAAGTAAGAAAAGACAAACCTGCAAAGAAAGGCCTTATTGGTTTGGGGAAAATATATTATAAAGGGCTATGTGGAAGATTGCAACACACGAGGGCTGAGAAAGAAGAGTATAGTCGATTCGAATAAGTTGGAAACGAAAGCAGAAATGGCTTAATTAATCTTCTGTCCTTCTTTACGGCAGCTAATTTTGGACCGGCTTCTCAACGATGAGGAGACTCGGGGCAACGGAGTTGTGATTCTATAGAAGAATGCTAAGGATATCATGTGAACAAGATGTGGTTTTGGATCGGATGCATACAAAAAGGAATGTTAAACTTAACATCTGGAAGAGGCAACTGAAATTCTGGGACACGTAATGAGAAAGAAGGGCTTAGAAAATCTGATATTCATAGGGAAAGAGGGACAAAAAATGCAACGCTTAACATACTTAACGGGCTTAAGCAAGTGGATGGCAGAACAGGGTTTGTGATAAATAACAAAATTCAAAGCTTCTTCAGAGCTACAAGGGACAGAAGGAAATGGAGAGCCATGATCGCCTACACCCTGAAGGGACACGGTAAATAAAAGAAGAAGAATTAAAATGAGAGTTACGAAAACAGGTCTCCTGATTACCAAACGGAAGAAGTGGTCAATTGAGTTAAGAAACGAACATGTAAGATTCATAAGTACGATTAAGGGAACAATGTATGAAGGCAAATATTTGCTAATAGTGGGTTGAAGGAAACAGCTGCTAAATCTCTGGTTGCAGAAACAAGACCAAGGGCTGAGAAAATATGTTGTTGAAAATTAATATAATTAAAATTAATTGCTAAAAGTTATGACCGCCTTTTCGCTAACTCGGTTTTAAAATCAGGGCTTATACTGAGAGGAGTAATGGTGTGAAGAATAAATAAGAGAAGGAATTAGTTATGCGGGCAGGCGATACTTTCAATTACTACCTGTAGGAAGAAGGGAACCTCCAAAATTTGTAGAGATAATTAATATATCGAACCAATTCATATCGATACAGAAACAAGGGGAACCCCTAAATTCCCAAACATCGTCGGTTCCATCTCCGGACTTGAGTCGAAGTCAATATAAGCAGAGTGTTTAAGCGTCCAGAGATACAGAAATAGAGAGTGAGAGAGAGAGAGAGAGGGGGGGCATTGAGAGAGACGAGAGTCAGTGGGAAAGAGCAGTCGAAGATGCTCGTGAGATCCACGTGACTTTCTGCCAAGATAATTCCAGACATTGAGCCCAGTTCCAAAAATTATCACAAATACGCATATTGTCTCTAAAGAAATTTTAGTGGAAAGGGTTAATATTTGTAATACAGAGGACTACATAAACCAAATCAAAAATTAACCCGAAAAAATCTTTTCGTTTTTTATTTCTCCTGCGAAGACATTTCTCTATTTTATTTCATAACACAGCGTCCCTGCGGTTCGAACCAGCGCTACGATTACTGAACATACTCAATCCTTACGCAAGAAACGCAACTTGGATGGAGCAAGGTGTTGAGTGGAGCGTCCAGTGACAGTATCCACCAACTGTGGGATTGACCCTGCAGTCAAATTGTCGTCTTGAGGATTAAGACATATTCTGGTATAGGCAACAAGTGGCAAGGGCCATATCAAAATAACGTTGCTTTCAAAAAGGATTTTCTAATCTAATTCCCAATGTAATGTGAAAAAAGAAAAATCCTTACCGGATTTAAGCTTATCTTCTAGCTTTTAAGAAGAAGGTTAGGATTGACTGCAAAGAATAGTTCTCAAACTAATGTCACAGATTGTTGTAGGTGTTTTGAATTCTGATACGTTGCTATTGAACTCTTGTTTCAGACTGGGTTGTATATATTATTTAAAGGATGTAAATTAATATCAACTTATTGACTAAATACGCAAAACTATTAATTTTTTTCAGAATATCATTCAATGAGTTTTGTCTTCAATAAACTTCGAGTTGGATGAGAATTGTTGAAATAACTAATTTAATAAAAGATGCAATCAAAGCATCGAAGAAAAGTTCTTATTTTTGAATTGAAGTAAAAATATACCTACTTAGTGACGTAGTGATTTCAATTTGACTGTTAAGAGAAGTGAGTTGAAGAGTGCCAGTGTGACTAAAAGTAAACCTACAAAAAAAAATAAAATAAAATATAAAATTAAACAGCAACATTTTAAAAAGCGAGCATCGTCATTAAAGACTATTTACAAACATTTGGACAAGATTTTATAAATTATGCCATATTATTGGGCGTTGGATTCGATACAAAATGTGTCTACGAAGATTACATGTTTTGCCATATAGTTTATTCTGGGTGTTCAGATAAATAAGCGGAAGATTATAATCAGCAATCAACATTAACCTATGAGCATATGTGAAAAACAATTATTCGTTCTCGTTATATTATAAGTGAAAATTCCTCAGTGATTCAGTTGATGACAAAAGACATACAAAATAAATCTACAATTTTTACATTAGCCAGAAACGCTAGGTTGAAAATAATTTCGAAGCAACATTTAAACTAATACTTACCACCATTGTTTTTTGGAGTATTTCCAACTGCAACTTATTCTGAGATTTTCCATACTTATTATCCATTTCAAACCATGACCTGGTAATAACACAATATTCCCAAGTGGCGTGGAAATTGAAACTGTTTTTATACTGAAGCAGAAAATAATTTTAAATATATTTCAATGACTTTTTATGTCATTTGTATACTTAAGTTCAATTAATATAAGGCACGAGAACCACTCGAGATAGAGGGTAATTGTTAAAATGGTTATGGTGATTAGGCGTGGTTTTTACTTTTATGTTTTAAGCAATTCGCTTCAAGCAAGTCAACAATGCCACTAAGATGCAAGGTTAATGACTTTGAAAGAGAAATTGAAAAGACCATATAAGGAGGTGTAAACCCACTCCTAAACAAGACATAATTAATAACACTATTAACTTGTTGAAAAGATCGAGGAGGAATGCAAGTCGGATTATTGAGGAGAAAAATAAAGTAATTAGTAAATAAAATTTCAGACTTCAAACGGAGACGTTAGAAGAATAGAGGTGAAGTAGATTTTAGAAGGAACACGAAACCAAATCCTGAACAGGAAAAAGGGATAAACCTTCAGGAGGAGTGTTATGTATAAAAAATGGAGGATTTACGAATTGAAGAAGTTTAGAATGTCATATTCAAGAAAACATCCACCGGGCTGTGAGTTGCAAGTGATATAGTAATATAGAATTATATGAGAGTAGTATAAGGGTATTTTAAATTTAATAGAATGCGTCGTATCTCTTATACTAAACCGGATGTTGACTGCTCGACGAGCCAATGCAGAATGCGAAAACGCGTCTTTGCGCATCATGGCTCGATGCATGTTTTCGGTATTAAATTAAAAAATGAGCTTTATCTATTGGCCAGTAATAACTCTCGCTAAAAGACCCAGACTGTAATTTGGAGCCGATACGACGGATATAAATTCTTTGATTCAACGCCGCGAAGGGCAGAGAGAGAGAGAGAGAGAGAGAGAGATAGAGAGAGATAGATAGAGAGAGAGACTCAGTTGGGATGTCGACACGCAGAGGCTGATCAAGAACGCTGTACGCACAGTGAACGCGATACTCTTCAACTTCCATCCTTCGACGCCGCTTTCTTCACAAAACATGAGCCGACAGCCATGACCAATATTCTTTCCCTTTGTCTTTCTTTCTTCCTCTCCTAATCTGTTGCCTTTTACCACAGCAACAGGTAGTATGCCGGCTTTGTATATATGAAAATAAATTATACATTTATTTACCCAAAATACAACATATTTCTTTTCCTGGAATATACGTTTGCTCAAGCGAAGAAGAAATTAGCCTCTACAGCAGTAACAACAACAGCGACAAGTTCTGCCTTCGAGGTTACCCATTCTTCGTTTCCGCAACAAATGTAATACATTCTACAATGCGATAGTGGGTCAGTTTTATACATTTTAACACTGATGTGATGAAAACATTTCAGCGCAAATATTTATCTTTTCGATTAGAACAGAGATTAAAGCATGTTATTGTTGTAAACATGAAAAACATATTTCTAGAAAATGTCGCAGTGTGCCCAAACACCACTCCCACCGTTTCTTAAACAACCCCGGCTATGCCTGCCGATGGAGAAAGGTCACGGCCATTGTGTGCTAAAAATAGCAACGACATCCTTTCAAACTGTCAGAAACACACAAAACTCAATTTTCGCCACTAAACAAAAATAAAAGACCTTTAATTTCGAACCGAAATTAATTTAAATACAGTCAACAAACACCGAACACTTTTGACTGTAATTAATACGGCCCGAATTAATTATATTCATTTACTTGTTTAGCGTCACCGCTTTCTCTTTTTGTATGAACCGTCATATCTATATCCCGAGACTTCGCAGCGGGTTTTAGCCGGCCAGGGGAGCAGCCCGGCCTTCGGGCTGGGTTGCGACCCATGGCAAAGTCTAGTTTGGACCATATCAGGACCTGCTAAGACAAGCCAAGACCAACTTGGACCAGAACTTGACTAAGCTTTGACCAGCTTGGACATGTTATGACCAAAACATTGACTAAGCCTTGACCAGCTTGGCCATGTTATGACCAATCTTTGACCAGTGACCCTATGCGGAAACGCTTGGGTTTCCCACGAAAAACGACCTTGTGTCACGACTTGACCACGTGGGAGTCAAGTAATCCCACGAAAAAAACGACCTTGTGTCACATCTTGACCTCGTGGGGAGTCAAGTAAATACCGCCGGCCTGGGGAGCAGGAAGTCTCCCTGATTCGCGACTTTGACGCGCCCAGTCAAGTCGACCAGCGTTCCTGCAGCTTCCAGCACTCTTGCAGCTTCCAGCTCACTCCTCACCTTCCAGCACTCCTGCAGCTTCCAACCTCCTGCACCTTCCAGCGTTCCTGCAGCTTCCAGCACTCCTGCACCTTCCAGCGCACTCCTGCACTTTCCAGCTCACTCCTGCACCTTCAGCACTCTTGCAGCTTCCAGTTCACTCCTGCACCTTCCAGCGTTCCTGCAGCTTCCAGCACTCCTGCACCTTCCAGCGCACTCCTGCACCTTCCAGCTCACTCCTGCACCTTCCAGCACTCTTGCAGCTTCCAGCTCACTCCTGCACCTTCCAGCATTCCTGCAGCTTCCAGCTCTCTCCTGCACCTTCCAGCACTCCTGCACCTTCCAGCTCTCCTGCAGCTTCCAGCACTCCTACAGCATCCAGCAGTCTCCAGCTCACCCCTGCGGCGCTCTACTGACGTCCCGCGACCTATTCCAGCACCCGCTGACGACCTTATCCAGTGCCCACTGACGTCTAGCGCCCGTTATCGTCCGGACACCGTTCAAACAACCTCTGTCTTCTTACCATCCACCGTTTGCAAATAAAGACACGATTTCCATCGTCTACAACGGACCATCTGCGTTTGTCATCCTTCATTGCTATTGCCATCTCCTTGCCCTTGTGTCCCCTTTTTAGTTGTACGGTCGATTGGCACTCACACCTCTCGGCCCGCTGCAACAAAAATAAAGTGAGTCCTATTGACTTGACGTGAATTACACAGACTATGTATTTTTCTTATGAGTGAATGTGATGCCATTTCAACCCGGAATCCACAACAATTATTATTATTAGTAGTAGTAGTAGTTGTAGTAATAGTAGTAGTAGCAGTATATATTCACTTAACAACGAAATTATTTATATTCGTTTAACTATTGAGATTTAAAAAATATCGAAAATACGTATAGCACATTGTTTATGTTTATCAGAATGATTAATATATTATCTAATAAGCATTACTTAGTAAGTTCAGTTTTGATGAATCCGTCGTTTTTCATGTCTGGAATCCGGTAGGTGTGCATTATTTGATAAAGTTTTTTCATGACAATTTCGTTGGCTGAAATGGAAAAAATGGGAAAGATTAATTAATAATGTGTGCAAACTTTTACTTTTTTTTTTTTAGAACTGACTGTAAATAAAAAATGTTTCTTAGTAAAGATTCCCAAAGCGTCCATAGATCAAATATGTTTTATTTTTGTGACAGTGTTATAAATATATTCAAGCTAGAAAGAAAATTCTCAGGTTTCAAATTATTTTAAATGAAATTATTAAAATATGTTTGATAATTAAAGAAAATAGTAAATTTGGAAACAGTCAAGAAGTGACGGCTTAATATGTTACAATAGCGTAATTTTTTTTTCTTTATTTTTCAGAAGAAAATGTTTCGGTTGTATAGATTTATCTTTTGTTTTCTTTTTTTGCTGAATTGAAGGATGAATGATCACCGTTTTGCTTAAAAGATCAGATGATATATTTCATTGCTATCATATCTTTAGGACGACCAGTATTTCAATTCTCAGTACCATAAGGTGCTATGAAATCTAATATTAAGTATTTCTGATTTTCTTTTCTGCTTTACTAACAAGTACTTGTAGTGCAAAATCTTCCCTGGATTTATTGCAAAGAAATACAAGGGCAAACTTATTCAAGTATTTCTTTGTAAATGTATCCCCAACCAACAGCAGATTTCATAAATAGGATTTATGCGGAATGATAAAAAATAATTGTATAATTAGTATAAGTTAAGATCTTTTTAATTGATTATAAATAATAAGAATCTTTTAATTTTGAAAAAGGTACTTTTTCTATTATTAATTTTGATAATAGCTGTAACTAATGCATTTAAGAATCCAGTAAGAAATTGAGAACGCATAGATACAAATACAGCGACACACACACAAATTCACATTCATACACACACACACACACACACACACACACACATATATATATATATATATATATAGATAGATAGATAGATAGAAAGATAGATAGATAGATAGATAGATCTATGTGAGTGTTGTAGTTTGTTTTCAAAGATAGATAGATAGATAGATCTATGTGAGTGTTGTAGTTTGTTTTCAAAGAAACTAGTGTTGTTGCAATGGCATACATCATTTAGCAGCAACTTTTATAATACTATATAAGCGCTATTTATAAATTAAATAATCAGAGATAATTATATCTTTTGGCAAGCTGTGACCTTCAATAAAGCTTATTTATTGACATTAAATTTGAAACAGTACATTGGTACCAATGCATAAAATGGGTATGTTATATGCCACGTATTAAAAATAATTTACGAAAAATGTATATTTATTTTTAGATGAACGTTAATTTTGGATAATTCGAATAAGTTGTGAAAGCAGAAAAAGCATTGACTTCCCAACTGACTCGACATGATGGACAATTAAATTTCTTAAATGAGATTGGCAAACATGGATTGTGATTTACCATGAATATCAGCCAGAAAGAAATGCAACTAACTTGCATGTAATTGTCTGCCTTACACACAATTATAGAAATTGTATCAAATTAAAATAAAACAATAAATAATTGTTAGATTAATAAATATAAAATATGAAAATAAAAATGTCCCAAAACAACAAAAAAAATTTAATCATTTTCCTTTATTCTTCAATAAATTACTGAACTTCCTAGTTTAACCTTAATTATAGTTAGATATAAAACTATGTTTGCAAAATTAACAATATTTTACTCCACTTTACTTCTGTTTCTAAATACATTTTGCAGAATATAATGCTTATATGTACCTTGATAAAGTCATTTGGGTGAGAAAAAGTATTGATAAAAAAACGTTTTCTCCATATTGTGTTTTTTACAAATATACTTTATTTATATATGAAGTTTTACACACATACACACGCACAGAGTCACGCATACTTGGACTCCGCCCTCATATATATATATATATATATATATATATATATATATATATATATATATACATACATATATATATATATATATATATATATATATATATATATATATATATATATATATATATATATATATATATATATATATAACGTCATGACAAGAAAATTTATTTATCTTTTCTATATTTACTGATATTTCCTTTGCTTCCTGCCGCTTATATAGATAGAAAAGTAGAAAGTAGAAAAAATCAATAAAAATTCCATAACGAAATAATTTTGTTAAACTTTAACTGTATCTTTTATCTTTATACATATACAACATCGCTCACGCCAGTTACCAAAATTCGTATTTTGATTATCAAATTCAAGAATAATGAGTCAAACGTATCTTTAATTGCTTTACTTCTCCTAGATTTATGAATTTAATAAGATAAAAACACACACACACAAACACCAGCACACACACACACACACACACATATATATATATATATATATATTATTTTTTATGTGCAGTACTTAGTGGAAAGTACTCAACATCAGTAATAGAGCTAATATATTCAGTCAGTTGTATGGATAAGGTTTGTCATTTGACTGATTGATCGTACCTTCAGCATTCCGACTTCAATGTTTTGTGGGTGGATCCTCCGGGAATCACTCAGTCTACTCATCCGGAGAATCAGGAATTGCCTACATATATATATATATATATATATATATATATATATATATATATATATATATATATATATATGTGTGTGTGTGTGTGTGTGTGTGTGTGTGTGTGTGAGTTACATTGTGTTTATATAACCGTAATTTTGAAAATACATAAACGAATATATATAAAACAAACGTATATTAAAAATACATACTTGGGTACATGCAGCATTTATTTATTAAACTATCGATCTGAATATTCGGAATGTATTATTACAGAAAAATATGCGCTCTCCGGTCGGATTCGAACCTGTATGCTTGAATAGTGCCTTTAAATTGAATCCTTCTCGTGAAAGACACTCATTATCTAAAAATTAATTTTAAAGTGATAAAACCTGTCGAACTGACAATTAAAACTCCATTACGTTTGAATACGAAATTGAACACGAATGAATATTTCCAGAATCTATGACGAGAAATATTTCGCAAATGTCCTTTCCTCTATTTCGAAAACTGGTATATATATATATATATATATATATATATATATATATATATATATATATATATATATATATATATATATATATATGTCAGTACCTGTGCACATGTGCGCGGATACACAGTATGACAGTGATAGAGAGAGAAAGACGTAAAGAAGAACATATATATTTACCATAGACGAATCCATTTTTTGTTACTTGCACACGTAAGCCTGGATTGGCAGAACAAGTTCTGGTATTGAACAAGAGGCATGATGTCACTGCAAGCAGGATTGTCCAAAAATTTCGAAAGAACATCTTCAGTAAGTTTGGTTGATGTCCGCTTCAACATCTGAAGTTTTCTGGGCGTTAGATTACACCTTTTATAATTTGTACATCATGGTTCATTTAACTCATAAACGTGCAGCAAACAATTATCTTTTTATAAAAATCCTCCATAAGAAAACACACCCTAATCCCTTTAATAACGTCAAGTTAAAACGCCCTGTTTCTTTACTAATGTCAAGTATTTCTTCTCTCAGTTAACAAACGATGTATTGTTCAGTTCAATTTCAAAACTTTCTGGTTTTATTTTTTTTTCCATAAAACTTAGCTTAATTCTGCAACATCCACTTTTCGTATTTACATTTTTCTTTTGATATATGACTTGAATTGAATATTTAGTTTTGAAATAAAAATGAAACTTTATATTTATATTAAGGTAAATTTTATCAAAATATCCTCAATTTCAATATGCTTGCGTATATAAAATGAAACGCATATAAAAAAAAAATATTGCGAATATCCATATCATTATCCACGTATAAAAATACACAACAAAATTGCATTATGAAACATTAAACAGTCACTTGCAATATAAAGTTTTTATTATGAATATTTACATTTGGTTGAATTACTAGTAACAATTCAAGCGCACTTTTTTCTGAGATCATATTTATTAAATTTGCAATTTCAATGTAGAGAAGATAACAAATAACGAGAGAATGAGAAAGAAGCACAACCATCAACAATACCAAAATCCAATGTAGCGTCTTCGTCGAGGAGGAAACTGTGATAATTAATTTTCTAGAATAAGATAAACTCTTGAAAACAAAATCCTACTTCACTACCTACAACCACATAAAAAAAATTAAATAAAATTCCGTAGACTACATATAAGTCTCTTTATTCTAAATAACAAAAAGAAAAAATACGAAAGTCAATATGTATAAACAAATAAATGAAACTCTTACTGACGAGTTACATATCTAACAATATATACACTTCAATAAATAGCATACTGAAACTTGCTGCTTTCTATGTCTACAATGTCTATAACTATAAATGCTCCACCAGTGACACTGATTATTTTTCCACTTGAATGATCGCAGTATTTTAAACAATATATATATATATATATATATATATATATATATATATATATATATAGACAGAGAGAGAGAGAGAGAGAGAGAGAGAGAGAGGGAAGATCAAGACCTTATTGCA